GAGTTGAATTCAGACCCTCCATGGCCTTGCAGCTCTTCGTGTTGGGTTCAGCTCGCAGTAGAGAGGCAGTGACACCGCATGGCCGCTTCTTAGGGATGAGGCATTAGGTTTCACCAGGCAATCCCTACTCCAGGATGAGGTGCATGCCAGCTTCTCACCTGAACCACCCAGAATCCTCTGCCCTGCTTTGGTGCTGTTGACAGTGGTGCCCATCACACCTGTTTAAAGAGACAGCAGGGTAGCTCTGGTAGCAGCAATAGCTTTGCTGACAACAGCAATTGGTACCTAACATGCCAGTGACAATGGTACTCAACGGAGTGAGGAGACCCCTGGAAGGCAGAGTAATATTCATCCTGGCTCATGACCCAGAGTTGTCTGCAGTGCCTCTGGCTGGCATCACCAGGCTTTGTGAACTGCCTAATGATTTTGCCAAGGAGTGGGAGTGAAGGCAGAAGGTTTCTCGGTAATTAATGTAGTTCGGGCTCAGACTTAACACTGGTTGCTTTTATAACTCTTACTGTATTATCCTGTCTAGAGGCCGATTATGTATTGAATGAAGTTGTACGTTCCTAGGCCCTAACAGGGAAAGAAGGAAACAGGCCTGGGTTTGAATGTCTGTCTCACCACGTAGATGTATCATCTGTAGGCAAATAATCTAACCCTCTGAACTCTGGTTTCCCCAACTGTATAATGGAGATGGCAGGGCCTCCCTGATAGGGTCATTGTGAAAATTCAAGATGTGTGAGAACACTCAACATGTTCTCAGCACAGAGTAAGTTCTCTTATATTAGCTTCCCTTCTTTAGTTTCTGCTGTAGGTTATCCTGTGTGTTTGCTTTTCCAATCAAAGGTTGCTTTTTACCTTGTGACTTCAGGTTGAAACCTTCCCTGCGACTCCTCTGTCCCTCTTGGATCACAAAACATTTCCGCCTGTGCCCTCTGTTATGTGCTTGTGGCATTTGGATAATTTAAGAAGGTATAGAAATTGCCAGCTTTGACAGTAGCAAAATTTTGCCCAAAGGAAATAAACTAATGCTTATGATATACAAGATGTATGAATTGTCAGTGAAGTAAAAAGGGTGAAATATGTTATCTGAGCTAAAGCTAAGACCACTGCTTGATCTCTTATCTTCTCACAATCCTTCAACAGGACTTCATTGACTTAACTAGAGAAACCAGACCAAGGGCAAAGGATCGCAGTGGACTCTGTGTGATTGACCTGACAAGATCTGAGGAAGAAAACAGACCTATTGCCACTCTTGACCTGACTCTAGAACCTGTTGCTCCTGCCCAGAAGGAGCCAGCCAGTCTTCAAACATGTGCCAGCCTCTCCAGCAAGGAGGTGGTGGAAGGGCGAGTGGACAGAAGCTCTCGGCCGACAGCACAGAGAATCATTAACAGTGATCCTGTGGATTTGGACCTGTTGGACGAAACTGCATTTGAAGGTCCTCAACCCCCTACATCCATCAGTGGGGACTCTGTTTATCCAGCAGAGCCAAACTGTAGCTCAACCATATTCAAAGGTGACCTCGGCTTCTTGGGAAGCCTACAACTACCTTCAGATGCTCACCCCCTCTCCCCGACAAGCACTAGTGGTAGCAGCAGCAATCAAAGGGCGCCCTTGCCATGCCCGCAGCAAGACGTGCCTTGCCCACCACAAGCCTTGCCGTGCCCACTGCGCGCCTTGCCATGCCCACTGCGCGCCTCACCATGTCCACCACGCGCCTCCTCGTGCCCACCGCGAGCCCTGTCATGCCCATCACAAACTGTGCAGTGCCAACTACAAACTTTGCCTCACCTGCCTCAGGAAGTGCCATGTCCTCCTCAAGATGTGCCGTGCCCTCCGCAGAATACTCCAGGTCCACCTCAGGGCTCATCTTGGCATCCTCAACACTCACCAAGCCCACCTCAAGACTCACTCTGCCCACCTCAAGATGTAACAGGCCCACCTCAAAACATATCATATCCACAGGGTGTGACACACCTGCGAGACATGTCACTGTCCCTGGGAGATGTGCCACAGTCCCTGGGAGACATGCCACCATCCCTGGGAGACGTGCCACCATTCCTAGGAGACATGCCACAGTCCCTGGGAGACATGCCACCATCCCTGGGAGACTTACCACCGTCCCTGGGAGACATGCCACAGCCCCTGGGAGACATGCCACAGCCCCTGGGAGAATTGCCACAGTCCCTGGGAGACATGCCACCGTCCCTGGGAGACATGCCACAGCCCCTGGGAGACTTGCCACAGTCCCTGGGAGACTTGCCACCGACCCTGGGAAACATGCCACAGTCCCTGGGAGACATGCCACAGCCCCTGGGAGAATTGCCACGGTCCCTGGGAAACATACCACAGTCTCCGGGAGATGTGCCACAGTCACCAGGAGATGTGCCACAGTCATCAGAAGACATGCCACAGTCACCAAGAGATGTGCCACTGTTACCAAGAGATATGCCACAGTCACCAGCAGATATACGACAGTCACTAAGAGACATGCCACAGTCACCAGGAGATGTGCCACAGTCACCAGGAAATGTACCACATTCACCTGGAGATGTCCCACACTTATCAGGAGATGTGCTGCGTTCACCTGGCGACGTGCCACGCTTGCCAGAAGATGTGCCGCACACACTTGGAGACTTGCCTCATTTGCCACGATTCAGGCCCGACTCTCCCCCAAACGACATACAGAACCACGACACGCCTATGGACATCTCAGCTCCATCCTCTCCACGCTGCTCTCCCGGCCCGCAGTCTCCACAGTCTGAAACTCCCTTAGAGAAAGTTCCTTGGCTCTCGGTCCCGGGAACACCAGCCAGAAAAGGGATGTCACCGTCCCAGCCTGCCGGCGCTGCGTCAGCCCGGTTACCAGTACAAGCGCCGCGAGGCGGGCCGCACAGCAGGCCGTGCCTGCACAGGCTGAAGTTCTTCCTGCGGCCTCCGGTGCATCACCTCTTCTTCCAGACACTGATCCCAGACAAAGACTCGAGAGAGGTGAGCCGCCACGTCTTCCCCTAGGGATTAGGCGCCCTCACCAGAGGCCTAGCATAAGGTTACTGTGCTGTAAGGAGTCCGTGCAGGCGAGGACAGGCCCAGCGTGAGTTTGACATTTTTATCTTTCCCCCACTTACGGCACCGCTCAGTGCAGAGTCAGATCTGGGTTCAAGTTTCAGACCTGCACTGAAAAACTGGTGCTGGAGAAGTCACTTGACCTTTCTGAACCTAAGGTTTCCTTTCTGTCTGTAAAGTGGAAGTGAGAATAGATCTCGCAGCATCATTAATGAGATAACATGTAGAGCACCTGTTAGAGTGTCCGGCTCACCACAGGCCTTCGTCAGATGCTTCTCTTCTGTTCCTGTGCCTGTCCGTCCCCGATGCCCTCACTACAGCGCCTGCATCACAGAGATGATTATGCTCATGACACTTCAGTGCCTTCAAAATTATTACTCTCTAACTTTGGGGGAGGAAGCTCAATTTTAAGATTTTTATTTTAATTCAAATATAGTTGATTTTACAGTATTGTGTTAGTTTCAGGTGTACAGCAAAGTGATCCAGTTATGTATTTTTTCAGATTATTTTCCACTATAAGTTGGTACAAGATATTAAATATTGTTCCCTCTGGTGTACAGTCAATCCTTACTGCTGATCTGTTTTATGTATAGTAGTTTGTATGTGTTCATCCCATACTGCTAATTAACCCTCCCTCCTTCCTTCCCCTTTTGTAACCGTAAGTTTGTTTTCTGTGTCTATGAGTCTATTTCTGTTTTGTATACAGATTCATTTGTATTAATTTTTTTAGTTTCCACATATAATTGATGTCATGTAATATTTGTCTTTGTCTGACTTACTTTACTTAGTATGGCTCTGTAGGTCCATCCATGTTGCTGCAAATGGCAATGTTTCATTCTTTTTTATGGTTGAGTGATGTATATATATATATGCCACGTCATCTTAAACCAGTTGTCTGCTGATGGGCATTTGGGTTGTTTCCATGTCTTGGGTACTGTAAATAGTGCTGCTGTGAACATTGGGGTGCAGGTATCTTTTCAAATTAGAGTATTCAACAGGTACATGCCCAGGCGTGGGATTGCTGGATATGGTAGCTCTACTTTCAGTTTTTTAAGGAACCTCCATACTGTTTTCCACAGTGGCTGCACCAGTTTACATTCCCACCAACGGTGTGGAATTCCCTTTTCTCCACACCCTCTCCAACTCAATTTTAAGATTTTAGTGGGCATGCGCCTTCCGATTGGTCTTCATTGATCTATAAGAACAAAACCAGATGCATAAGAAAAAAAAATCTGTGGCTCTGTCCCCCAACATGAAGCTTTTTTCATTATAGGTTGCCGCATTCCCAACATTAAGAATGGCTTGAAGTAGTTCGAAGAATTCAAAAGGTACATTCTCCTCTTGGAGCAGTCAGTGATCCAGCTTAGCACATGTCAGGCATTCACACTGATTTGGCTTTGGAGAGTGATTTGTTTTTCCTCTCATTTTAATTGTTCTGTCTTCTCCTGTATCTTATGTCTTCTCCTTCTGCATAGCTCTCCTCAGCCACAGGCTCAATCTCTTTCTTCCTGTGGGTTTGCTTCAGGTTGGTCGATACATCATTTCCATGATCAAGAGCACGTGAGGGCCTTCAGAAAGTTGGTGTTTCCCTAGTCAAAGCTGTAGTGAAGCCGTCCGTAGGCACAGATCCACCACCTTGTGTGTACCCATAACTCAGATCACAGGGTGGCAGTTAGGCCACACAGACTGAATTCTTCTTCTTTGTTTCTTACCTTCTTCAAGAACCTCAGCCATCTAGAATACATCTGTAATTCTTTTCCATCTTCTCTGCTTTTTTGGGGGGCCTTTTTATAAGTACTTCACTAAGTAATTTTTCCCCAGAGCTTTTTTTTTTTAAAGCATGATGTACTTTATTTTCTCTTCTAGTCAAATTTATTAGGGGTTTTGGTCAGTTTTACATTATTTTTAATGAAATATAGTTGATTTACAGTGTTATATTAGTAATGGGCAAAGGATTTGAATAAACATTTCTCCAAAGTTGCTTAGTATCATTAGTCATTAGAGAAATGCAAATCAAAATCACAATGGGATATCACTTTATATCCACTAAGACAGCTATAACAATATTTTTATTGACATATAGTTGATTTACAATGTTCTGTTATTTCAGGCATACCGCAAAGTGTTTCAGTTATCTTTTTCAGATTATATTCCATTATAGGTTATTACAAGATTTAAATATAATTCCCTGTGCTACACAGTAAATCCCCCCCAAAACTTCTTAGCCAGTCTCCATGCTGCCACTTACCAGCTATTGACCTTAACTCTTCTGAGTCTCTTTTTGTTTCGCACTAAAGTAAGTCATAATGCCCGTATCATAGTGTTGTTTGGCTTAAAGGTAAACATATAAAAGTACAAAGCCACCTTTCAGGGCTATCGAAGTACTCTGTAAGTATTAGTTCCCCTTAAGGATAGGGGCATCAAAACAATTTATAAACTTCATTTATAGAGATCTCCATTTGTAGGTAAGTAGTGATAATACACGTTCAAGGTCATAAAGTGCAATGCATGTAGGACAGCTACCAAAGCGAGATTTTTGTTCTGCTATCTTCTCTTGCTCCTAATTCTCATTACATGCCATTCACAGCACTGGTCTCTCGTCAATGAGATCAGGGTTACCGTCAGGTGATTTGAGACACAAGAAAGCTAACTGGACTTCTCTCCTCCAAATTTCCTGGGAAGGCACTTCCAACCAACACTGTTCTACTATTACATATAAACTGTCAAAACTTTGGTTGGTGTTTTAAAATGAATACTTATTCTCAGATTTTAAAAATAATGCTTGCTTAGTATAAGACATTTTTAATATAAAATATTAAAAAATAATTACCCGTGGTGCAATCAGTCAGCATTTATGATTGTTAATAACTAGGTATATTTCCTTCCCGGTTGCCTTTTTATATGTAGGCACTTAAAATTTTTTAACAATTGAGATTTTTAACAAAAGTATTTTTCTGTTAGTTTTTTTGTTGTTTATAAAGAGTGTGTATGAGTTTAGAGGGTAGCTCTGGAGCTAAACCACCAATGTATGAAACCAGCTTCTGCCATCTGTTGCGTGACAAATGCTTACTCTCTAAGCTTCAGTTTCCTTATCTGTGAAGTAGGAATAGTTATTACTATTATTATGTATTAGCATGTATCTCTTAGAGTTATTATGAGAATTAAGTGAGGACAAGTTAAATATTCAAAAATTATTGTTGTTATCATTATTGTTGTTATAATATTCCCATATCAAACCTTTTAATGTTTTTCTTCTAATTATGAAGGTAACATGTGTCTATTACAGAAACACTGAAAAATACTAAAGAACGTGTAGAGGAAAAATCATCCATCATTTCACCACCCAGATGATAGAAAACCACTTTTCACATATTCTCTCTCAGTCTTTATAAACATAGTGTTTGGGGGTAGGGATGGGGGTAGGCGTTGAAGCAACCTAGTATATACTATTGACTCAAAAAAATCAGAACAGAATTCTTCTAGCAATAAAACGTATTTAAAATCTCTCTATTCATCTCTCTGTTTCAGTATTTGATATTGTAGCATAACTACCCCTAACTATCTCATCGCTCTCACTCCAGAGTCAACTTCGACCAGCTCTTGACTCTTTTGTACTTTCCTTCTTATGCTGTATTTTAACACGGATGAAATCATGTTATATGTAGAATTTTGAATTCTCATTCTTTAACTTAATATCAGCATTTTCCCATGTCATTAGAAGTTTTTTAGACAAGGCTTTCCAGTCTCTATTTTTAAAATTATGAATATTTAAGGTACATGAAAAACTTTGCTGTCTTCAACTTGTTTCAGAATCTCTTAATTTTATGTCTATAGGAACCCACCCTAATTTCTTTCTTTTTATCTCTACAGAGCAAGGGTCAAAAATTAGAACCCATTCCTCATCGAAGACTAAGAATGGTAACAAACACCATTGAAGAAAATTTTCCCCTGGGGACTGTGCAGTTTTTGATGGACTTTGTGTCACCCCAGCATTACCCACCCAGAGAAATTGTGGCTCACATCGTCCAGAAAATCCTGCTCAGTGGCTCGGAGACTGTGGATGTCCTAAAGGAGGCCTACATGCTTCTCATGAAAATTCAACAGTATGAACCTTAGCTGTTAGCATATCTTCTAGGGAACTTGGACTCAGAGCACAGCTTTCTCCTGCCTAAGCTTTATTCAGCTAACCATTAGAGAGGGTGACTTAGTATATTAGTATCATTTGGATTGCAAGTGACAGGAAACTCAATCCAAACTGGCTTTAACAGCTGGTAAAAGAGAATTTAATGATTCATGAAACTAGAAACCTAGGAATAATATGTGACTTAATTCAGTTCAAAAATGGTTATCAGGATCCAGTTTTCAGCTCTATTTTGCTTCTGTTTTTAGGATTCATATGGTAGCCTTTTCAGCCTCCAGCTTTTATGACACTCTTAGTACAAGAGGGAGTCCACTTCCTTTATAATCACACAAGAGTTCTCAGATTGAGTCTTGTAGACTTTAATTGGCATAACATAAGACATGGGTGCATCTTTGGGCCAGTCATTGTGAACTGAGGGGTAGAATCTCATGATTAGCTCAACATGCTTCACAAGCTTCATCCCGGTCCTAGTAGGTAAAGCCAATGGGCTAAGAATAATAGAGAGTTGACTTCTTTAAGGCAAAATTGGGGCACTAATGCCTCTCAAAAGAGAATGGATGCTGAGTAGCAAAAAAGAGTGAAGTTCAACTACCCTCAGATGAAATGGTATCATACCAAAGGGCGGGCAAGAGCACTGAGGGTGAGAGGGGGCTTCTTGCTTCTATCATCTTCCAGATCCCACCCCTGTTTCCACTAACCCCACCAGAATTCTAATTGATGTCACTTGACTTTCAGGCTACATCCAGCTAATGCCAAGACGGTAGAATGGGACTGGAAGCTCCTCACTTATGTCATGGAAGAAGAGGTAACATAACAACTACAATCTTGTAAATCTTGTGCAGAGGAAGTTTTAACTAGAAACAAAAGTGACAGTAAATCTGATAGTAAAGTCTTCACCATTATTCCTTCCTTTAACTCCCCTGCCCACCAAAAAATTCCTATTGAAAAGGTATGTGCTGTCTTCCAACTCAAGATTGAATACACTCATTTATCCCTCTCCTTCTTGAGACCCCATTTATAATAACAGTAAATAAACAGAGAAAGTTGTAAGCCTATGGCAATGAAAATAAGCGGAAAGACAATAGGTTTGAATGATGATTGGAAGAGCTAAAGGAAATGTAAGAGTGATGATTGATGAAGGTAGACAGAGAAAGCTACAGGCTAGACTACATGAGGAAGGGCTGTAGCCAAAGAGGGAGGGAGTCCACCCTTCAGAGCAGAGAAGTTTTGGACTCAGAAACACAATATATAAGAAGATTGGAGTAGGATATGAGCTGTAAATTTGTTAATATTTTGTAGGTGGAACTGACAGCCTCTCCATTTTTGAATACAGAAAAATTAGTTGCCAGGTTACATACCCTTCAGGCAAAAAGAACAGAGGATTCATTGTCTAAAGAAATTGAATGAACCACCTGTCTTAAATGAAGGCAGCTAGTGTAGAGCTGGTGCACCAGAAAAAAATATCTTCTGCATTCTGACCTTTAGGGATCCCTCAAGTTAATTGCCAGCTTCCTGTCTGCTCACCCAAAAGCACTTGGATGGAGCAAATTACTGTCAGCTTAGAATTCTATACTCAGCCAAACTACTAGTCAACTGTGACGGCAGAATAAAGACATCTCCAGACATGTATGAACTTGAAGAAGTATCCACACACACCATTTCATAGATTACTTGAAGATGTGCATCCAGAAAATAGGGGAATAATCAAAAGAGCGGGAGGCACAGGATCCAGAGAACACTGGATCTAATCCAGAAGAGTAAGAAAGAGAAGTCCTGAGATTACCACAAATAATAGACTTAGAGGGCAGTCATTCCAGATTAGAGCAAAATAACACAGGGCTTTCAGAAAGGATGATCTGGGAAACACCACCTAGATGGTAGACAAGGAAGCTCCAGGCCCTTGTTCCCCGATGGAGACACCAAGTTAACAACAATGTATGGACCAGAATACCTTTGTGAAAACTATTCTATAGAGACCAGCTGAGAAGTTGCAGTACCCAGGCCAATGCATAACCAAGAAGGTGCTCTCCTGAAAGGACTAGGAAAGTCTGTGGTATTTTGTGTGCCCATGCCCCCTCCCCCAACCCAGCACAGCACAGTGAAACTGGGAGGAAACCTCCCATAGCCTGGCTTCTCCCTTGGGGTGGAAACAAAAAAGTAGATGTCAAGTCCGATGTTCTGGCTCGTTAGGGAAATGGTTTCTGTCTCACCTGACTCAGAGCACCGTTGGGAACAGTGGCATCATTTTCCAGCTGAGAAGAGAGGTGAGCACTGCAACATTTATAGCTGCAAAGAGTATACAGTTCCACAAACAGGTCTCTGAAGGAGCAAGAGACTGTGGGCTCTTAAGAAGAAATAGGGGCAAGCCACTTGGGAAATTAAGGCGGATAAAAGCACACACACCACCTCAGAGAAAACACATCCCCAGAAAAAGTCTGAGAAGTCCCAGAACCTCTAGCCAGGCTGAGTGATGAAGGTCTTGCCATGCATGAACTCAGTGGATGAAGACTGGGAAAGATGGTTGCTTTTTTCAAATGTTTGAGTCTCAAAAGAAGATTACAGGGTTTACAAAGAAACAAGGAAATGTGGCCCAATCAAAGAAATGAAATAAAGCTCCAGAAACTAACTCTAAAGAAACATGAATCTCTCAACTTCCTGACAAAGAATTTTTTTAAACTATCTTAAAGATGCTCAAGGAGCTAAAAGAGAATACAGATAGACAACAAACTGAAGCAGGAAAATGATGCATGAACGATATGAAAATATTAAACAAAGTATAGAAAACACACACATTCTGGAGCTGAAAATTACAGTAACTGAACTGAGAAAGTCACTAGAGGGGTTCAACAGCAGTCTTGATCGGGGAGGAGAAAAAAATCACTGAACATGAAAAGGTCATTTGAAATCATTAAGACAAAGGAGCAAAAAGAAAACAGTAAAGAAAATTGAAGTGTGCCTAAGGAACTGTGGAACACCACTAAACAGACCATAAACACGTTGTGGGAGTCCCAGAAAGGGAAGAAAGGGGGTAGAAAGCTTATTTGAAGAAATAACCCCAAAACTTCCCAAATATGAGGAAAGAAATGGACATACAAATTCAGGAAGGTCATTTCCAATGAGGATAAACCAAAAAGATCCATACCAATATATGTTATGGTCAAGCTGTCAAAAGTCACAGACTTTTTCTTGAAAGCAGCAAGAAAAAAAGTGACTTATCATATATAAGTGAGTTTGCATAAGACTATCAGCGTATTCTCAGCAAAAGGCTTCAGGTCAGAAGGCAATGGGATGATGTCTTCAAAGTTCTGAAAGAAAAAAACTGTCAACCAAGAATATTGTATCTGGCAAAACTGTCTTTCAAAACTGAGGGAGAGCAACAGGAGAGAAATGACACATCACGTATAAGATCCTCAATACGATTATCAGCAGATTTCTCATCGGAACCTGGAGGCCAGAATGTAGTAGGGCTGATATTTGGTTTCAAAGTACCAAAGAATAAAACTCAGCCAAGATTCTTGTATCCACCAAAACTGTCCTTCAAAAATGAGGGAGAAATAAAGGCATTCCCAGATAAAAGCTGAGGGAGTTCGTTACCACTAGCCCTGCACAGCAAGAAATGCTAAAGAGAGTCCTGCAGGGTAAGATAAAACACTGAGCGGTAACTTGAAGCTAAATGAAGAAATAAAGATGTCAGTAAAGATAAATGCAATTATAAAAGCTATTATTGTAATAATGGTCCGCACCTCTACATTGATTTTCTGTATAATTTAAGTAATTAATCTGTTTTTAGTTCCTAATCTCAAAGCTAGTATTATTGTAACTTTGTAAATCCACATTTTGTTTTCTGCATAATTTAAGAGACTAATGTATTTGAAAGAATTATTAGTTTATTTGGGGGCACACAATGTATGAAGATATAGTGTTGTGATATCAATAACCAAAAGAGGTGGGGACAGAGCTGTAAAGGAGCAGAGTTTTTGTATGTCATTGAGGTTAAGCTAGTATAAATTCAAAATAGAGTATTATAATTTTAGAATGTTTAACATAATCCCCAGAGTAACCACAAAGACAACAGCTGATAGAATGTATACAAAAGGAAGTGAGAAAGAAATGTAAACATTTCACTACAAAAAATCAACTGAAGACGAAAGACAGTAGTGCAGGAAATGAGGGACCAAAAAAACTGTAAGGCAGTTAGAAAACAAACAGCATAAGGACAGAAGAAAGTCTTTCCTTATCAGTAAAGGGAAAACAACAAATCTGCATGCCTGCCAGCTATGTGACAGACACTTACACTGGCTTTGGTAAGGTTAGAGTTATCCTCACGCAAATCACAAGGACACTGGGATTCAGAAGGCGTAAGTTAAATAAGGGATGGGGCTGAGTTTCAAACAAACAAAAGTAAATGAAGAAAGCCCGTGCTCTTTACCTGCGTCAGTTGGGCTCCAACAGTGAGGATCATTTCACCTCTAACAGGAAACCTGGCTCAGACTTGCTTAATATGGATATGCATCAGCTCATATTACTAGAAGTTCAGCAGTGGAGCAGACATGATGTTTATTGATCTAGCACCTTGGCAGAGTCATTTTCCTGTCTCTCTGTTCAGATATCCAGTTTCAGGTTTATCCTGAGACTGACGGGTTCGGTGAGAGGAGGAGACCGACTTTTCAAGCTCTGGGATTGCCCTGTTCGCCCTGATTTGTAATGACCTAGACTGCCTGCTGTCTCGCAAAAGCCTCTCTTTTAGATACGGACACACTTACTGACTCATGAGCGTCCCTTGACAGTATTTAGGAGAGCCCAGTGCTCACTGTCATCCAGGAGATTGAGATGAAATACTTACTTCTCATTTTGTCCCTCCCCCAGGGACAAAATCTGCCCGGGCGAGTCCTCTTCCTGCGTTACGTAGTGCAGACCCTGGAAGATGACTTCCAGCAGATCCTGAGGAAGCAGCGACAGCACCTGCAGCAGTCCATCGCGAGCACTGTGCTCTCCTGTGACAAGCAACCCCACAATGTCAGGTAACCAGCCACCTGAGCCCTGGGATGCCAAGCGGGAGGGGCTGGAGGTGGGCAGCTACTCGAGTCTGGAGAATGTCAGGCGGGTAAGGGTTCCTAGTAACCAGGCAGTATGCCAGGGACAGTTACTATGGCTACAGACAGTCCTGCAAGGAGGCGTCTCTGTGCCAACCATGTGTCAGGCACCATGGCTTGCGTGGTTTTTCTCCCAAGACCATCAGACTTCCTTTAGTCTATTTCAGGATTGTTCACACAACCTCATGAGATCCAGAGGGGGAGCCTTAACGTGTGTAAAACTTTTCGCAGCTTTTATAAACCTAGACTTATTTCCATCCCCCTGAGTAACTCAAGATGGATCTCATTTCTCACTATTACTTTCTGAAAAGTCTGTTACGATAAAAGTCGCGTGGCTGACAGTGAGGTACAGTAAGTTAGCAAACACATGTTCTTTATTTGCAGAATCAGGGCCAAAGCTTCTGGAAGCTTCAGAGTGGGGAACTACCATATCCTTATACCAAGGAGGGAAATGGGATTTCTAGGGTTAGGATCTCAGGCTAGAATTTTCCTCCTGGAACTCCAACCCGTGCTTCTTTTGGAAACAGTTCTCACCAGCATTGTGTTTTTTCAGAGCGTCACTGAAACTTTTTCCCTCAAATTTATGTTCCCATATGTTCATGCATATTTGTTAAGAATAGTTTTCATTGGCCAGTGTGGGATATAGACTATTGTAACTCCTTTAATAAAAAAGAAGGAAGTTTCCTTATGTTTTTAGTATCAGTTAGCTTTTTCTCCCTTCGTTTGCCTGCTTAGATCCATTTTCCTAGATGTGGCGTTTTATGTGAAGTTGATACGTTAATGCTTATAGGGGTAGCAAAATCAGTGGGTAGAGAATCCACAGAGAGCACAGGATAGCATAGTTGGATTTAAAATAGAAAAATAACCATTTAAATAATGAGAGCAACTCTCCCGACCATTCTGCCTTGTGAGCATAGGCATTGGATTGGGAAATGGAAGACGCAAACCCAGCTCAATCCAGTAAGTCGCTCACTTTCATTTCCGCCTCGTGGTGTGAGCCTTTCACTTCATGGAGTGTGACTCTCAGGTTTAAAGAGAGGCATTTGTGGTCTCTAAATGCAAGCCACATCTCCCATTTTGTGCTTTATCAATGAGAAAAATCACTACCAGCTGTATTTAATTCAGCAAGAAATGGTTATTAGAGGTTGTGGTTACACGGATATGTGCATATATTTATCAAAACTTCTCAAACAACATAAAAGTGTGCTTTGATTCCTAAGGGGTGGAACAGTTCACAGAGCTCTCTAAGAGGCTTTTCAAAAGTGTCAATGTTACGAAAGGCAAAGCAAGACTGAGAAACTGTTCAAGATTAAAGCAAAAAGAAAAAACCATCAAACAAAAAACCATATGCAATTTATTTTATATAAGTTACACCTCAAAGATAAGTTTTTTTTTTAAGAATAATGGTAAGTCAGTCTCCTTATGATCCCCTCTTAAGGGATTTTCTTTTCTTTCTTAACGGTGCATGCAAAGAGTAAACTAGTTCTACAAGATTTTAGAAATGCGCTACCCCCCAGACCCCGCCACCCACATTTCCCTTTTCCACAGGGGTAACTACTTCCCCCATGATTAGTGATTCTTTGAATTTTTACCTCTTTGTGGCCGAATAACCTGCTTGTGTTGCTAATTCTTGATTTTTCATTGTTAGCTACTATCTATTGAGTCTCCACATGAAAGATGAGGCAGTAGCTTTTCTTCCTCCCCACCTCCTCCCCCCACAACACACACTTCCCAGCCTCCATACCATTAATATTAATTATATCACAATTTTGTTTCGATTGGTATTCAGTGTTTTTATCACTATGACTGCGTGCGCTGGTCAGAGTTGAGCCAAGTACTAAACTGTGATTCCTCTTTCTCTCACACCTTTTTTGTTTTCCTCAGGGTTCGTCATTGCCTCTCTTTTAGTCTCCTCGTGTTCTGTGTGCGTATCCGAAGCAAACGCCAAAGTCTCTGCTGTTTGGCCTGAATATCCCCATGACGATGTTTATTCATTCTGGGTAGCCTTAACAGGTTCTTGTGGAAGATCTGGGGTGGGATGTTTTGACCTCCTTCAGTCTGGGTTGGTTGTCCTCTTTGCCAGTCTTTATCATAAATGTGGAAATCCCCTTCACCTGTTTCCAGTGTTGGATCTCTGTTTCCTGTCTTCTCTTTTTTGGTTTACTCCCTCATTTTGATGGGTGAGTCTCCAGTAGCTTCTTAGAAAGGTATGGGGGTAGTAAAATTTTTGAGATCTTGTATGTCTGAAAATATCTTCATCTTCCCACTCATTGATTAGGAAGTGAGTATAGATGTTGAGGTGAGGAGTAACTTTTCTACAGATCATTAAAGGAACTCTGCCATTGTCTTCTAGCTTCCAGAATCCCTGTTAAGAAGCCATAAGCTACTTTGATTACTGATTCTTTGTATATGCCCTGATTTTTCCCTCTGGAAGTGTATAGAATCCTCCTTTTGCCCAGTATGCTTATTGAAGGTCTATATTCATCTATTAGGCTGGGTATGCAGTGGGCCATTTCTTATCCTCCGTTCCTGAAAAACAGAGTTTTCATTCCTGTTACCATGTTTTTAATTTCCAAGAGCTCTTCTACTTTTTCTTTAACTATTCCTTTTTAAAATTAACAAACAGTATTCTGTTCTTGTTTTCTTTCATGGATCCATATCTTTTTATATCTTTGATGATACTAATGATGGCCTTTGTTTTTGTTAGTTCTCTGTATAATGTCTGCTTTCTCCAAGTTGCTTTGTTGAGGCGCGAGGAGGGTTTATTTGGGCTATTTTGGTCTTCATCGCTCATGTTAGAATATTCCCAAACATGTCTGGCAAACCTTGATAATCTATCCAAGTTTAGGGGTGACATCAAAAGCTGCTGGAAGCCCTGAGTACATGGGAGAACTTGTCATTTCTGAGTTTCCCTGTAGGTGGAACTGGCTGCCCGTTTCTTAGAAAAGACTTTGTCATTGTCTCTAAGTCTTTCCTCTGGGACTGGATGGGTTTTCCAGAAAAGACTTCCAATCTCCTACGTGAAGGATAAAGAGCGAGATGCCAGGTTTTTGGAAGACAGGTGTGGGAAGCTGGCAAGGGTCTCTGCATTCAACATGCATAGGTTCATGTCGTGCCCCTTGTTTCACTTTGCTGCCTCCGCTTCCCAGCTGTGCCTGGTGCCCCAGTCCAGAGGCCCTGTTTTACCTCTTCACAGAGTTGATCTGTAGTCTTCAGGGTTGGGGAGGGAGAGCTAGAGGGTCTAGAAGTCCTTTAAACAGCTTACAAGCCACCGTATTTATTTTAACTCACCCCCTTTCACCCTCACTTCATGGAAACCTTATGTGGCCATTTGTAGCACTTACTGAAGGTTTTTTTTTTTTTGGTAAATAGGGTTAAATAGGATTGCTCTTCTCTACCGCTGGCTTAGGATTCAACTTTCTCAATTCTGCCAAGTCAGTTAAAATTTATCCCTTTGCCAAAGTCATTGACTTAGATTAAACATCATCTAAACATGACATTTGCCTTATTTACTTAGTTAATTGGTTACTTTCGATTTTGTCATTAACATCTCTTAACCCATCCCTTAAATCAAAGGCTGGGACCTTGATATTACCTACATCTAACCACACATTCATCCCCCATCACCCACTTTTGTACCTTCTTACACCCAAAGTAACTGGCATCCTGAATGTTCATCATTTTCCTTTCCTTTTTATTTAGTTTTATTGAATCTGCATGTGTTTCTATAAAGTATATACTTTTGTTTTAGTTCCTTTTTAGCTGTATGTGACTATCATGCTGTATGTAATTGACTGGCATTTTTATATTTCAGTTAATATTACAGAGTACTAAGATTTGTCAATCTTATTATCTGTCACTGGAGCTTATTCATCTTCACTACTATATAATATTCTATTTTGTGACTAGACTTCATTTTCCTTCCAGCTTCCAAGTATTCTCTGTTATTATCTCCCCTCCTTTTCTTCCTTTCTTTGTGGATTTTTAAAATAATTATTTACAGTAGTATTAGTGGGATTTTAGGAGGGAACAAAATCAGATGTATATTCTAATCCACCATTTTCACATGGGTTACTTAAGTGATCATCAGAAGTAATTTTGACTATATAAGATGTTTTTACCTTACTAATTTTGAGTAATTTTACCATACCCTTTATAAAGTATGTCTCTACTGTACATATGCTAAACCTTGATTATTAGCATTAATAGCTGGCACTTAATAATAGAAAGCCAGCAAGGTCACCCTGTCCAACTTTCTACCTTGTCAAGAAATGTTCCTGGTCAGGAAGCCACATATGGTGCTCTTTGACCTTGGAGATACCTTTCAGTAATTATAACTTAAAGAAAAGTGTTGATATTTTATTTAGCTTTTGTAGCCTTACTGCAGTTAAA